ACTGACGATGTTGGATTTATGCCCCAATTTATCATCTCTCGCGTGCAATGCGCAGCTCCCTCCCCCCCCCCCCAAATCATCGGTGAACGGAACTGCGGCAGCTACAACCACTGTACGACGAGCACAGTGGTTATTACAACTGACAATGATCAGCCGCGACATCGCCGTAGACAGTCGACGCTGGCTTGTAAAGTATGCTAAAATCGCAACCTAGGGAAATAGCTCATTGTTGGAGGCGACTTACAGTAGGTACCGGGATGTCCCTCGGAGATCCGAAGATAGCCAACAGTGACTTGTGGTCCGTGCAAATCATAATAGGTCAACAGTTTCGCTATGGGTACTATAATTTCAGCTTCACTTCAACTACTCTTCGCCAATTCGACTGACCACTACCAATGACAAACAGCCTTTTTTTGAACCAATCGGAAGCTACAGAAGGAAGACCGTGCTAATTCCACATTCTTAAGCTTCAGCCGTTACAATGATCGGAAATTTGGGGTTGTAATGGAGTGACGGTAAATCAGACGTAAGTACATATTTGTGAGGAAGAATCAGACGATAGATGTGACCAGTCCCAGGTAGCGTCGTTCGCTAACGGAGCCTGTGTGCTTCGTAAATGGGGTACAAAATTGTGCCATTGCCTGAGGGTTGTTACTATGACAGACTATTGTGCTGGTAGTTGATTCCGTCTATTAAGTATCAGGTCGTCGACATCTATGGTTCCCAAGTAGCGGAAAATGCGCATCACAAAAGGGTGTTTTTCCCTGATGCAGCCTGAATCCGAAATGTTCGATCTATTGCAATGCTATACTTACACTTAGATATATATCACCAAAGGACAAACATGAAGGTTTTGTGTCTATCATTTGCTGGAAGGTGGTCCGCTTACAGTTAACACTAAAAGGTGACGTGTTTGTGAACGACAGTTTTGCGTCTAAGACCTCGGTTTTTGGAAACCGACGTCCATCAAGAAGTCCACTGTGTATTGAAAACTAGTGTGGATGGGTTCCTGAAGAATCGTCTCATCCAGTGAGACATCCACATACTTGTTCAGCCCCCATTACAGCGACCATCTGGGTGACCCAGCCAGACGAATTCACGTGAAGCATGATGTCTACCTAACCCAGCTTCCGCCTGTGGAACCACAGGATACGGGTCCATTCAACAGAAAGCCCGTTTGGTGTTTGAGCGATAGTACACCAACTGAGTCCTTATTGAAATATCAAGTTGGTAGCTTTCGTCAAATGTTATGAAGGATATAAATTGCGGATGGATAACAGTCTGATCCGGTATGTTTCCTGGGTCAAAGTAAGCACAAACCGATGCAAAAATCTCATTTAAGTCACATTCCTGACTACAGAGTTAGAAAGCACACGCCAAAAATTCAACTTTGCGATCCGGTCAGCATCCAAACAGTTTACTTTCAAATCTAAATTGCCTTGTGCAGGTGTACACAGAAATAAGAGCCCATTCAATCTACGCCTACTAATAACAGAGGAACATGGGCAGTCGACCATACGCAGGTCGGCCGAGCGTTATCCGAGTTGGATGAGACATGACAGTCAGAGTGGGTACTGCGATAAGTCGTTATGTGACATCACGAACATTGGTTCTGATCGTAACGTAATTCCGTGGATTGAGTGAAAGAAATGATGATAATAGTTCAGTTGTAACACTCTTTGAACGTCCAGTTGTCATATCAGCTAAAAGAAGCACGAGGGCTAAGATACTGCCAATCAGCCCAAACCTAGTCAACAGCAGTCGAGCTGATGAGACGGGATTCGAAACACGGACCTTCCAGTCAGTAGATTCGCGCCTCAACCACTGAGCTATTTCAAACTCGAAAAGTGGTATCTAAAGCGAAGTGAACAGAGAGTGGTCTTGTTTAAATTATACTATATACTCTTATCTCTATACATGAAGATCGGGAAGGATACGTGTTTAATGCAGAAAGCGTGAAGGTTGTAGTGCGTGGAGGCACAAAACAGAAGAGGGGATTTTGAGGAGCGTTCCGTTTCACAACTCGATAATGAGCATCATGGGCTCTCCTCGAGAAGCTACTACGACCGGCCTTCACCTGAAACTTATTAAATGAGCCGGAGGTTTCCAATCAGATACTATACTGGACTGCGCATTGACAACGTTACTTCCTCGTAACGGAACATCAGCGAAGTTGACGTTCTTCCCCACTCTGCGTTCGATCCATCAATGGCCTGTTACCATTTGTTCTTTCTCATATTGATGCCTTCGCACATCGCTGTTCCCAACGGACATCCACCAGCTGATTGTGCGATAACCATGCGCTAGCCACATCACTGAAGGCCAGCCACGAGGCGTTGTCAAACAGAACAGACCCACCGATTTAGCGTCCGATCTATCCAAATCACTTAACTTAATTCACCTCCACACCAAACCATCAGCTTGACACGCGTTACTCCCAATTTCACCATCAACGCTATGCTTCGCTGTCGCACAATCATGATTTATTTGAAAGCCTTATTTTGAAGAAAAGGATAAAGGGACTAACTGCTACGTCACTACATTCATTCCGAGGTGCCTACACCTCGACACTCATGCAGGCAATATGAATTGAGCACGAAAAACTGTAATCTTTTCAGCAATCGATTGTTAGGCATACGCGACACATGGCCCAACCAACGTTGTTGTTGCTGAACACATTCCTCAATGGAAGTTAACGTTGCACAATC